GGCCTACAGGGCTCATGGTGCCGGCGGGGCACACGGGGCCGACGGGGCGCTAAGGGGCGGCTAGGAACGGGCGGCTAGGGCTAGGATGAGAGCGGAAGCGTGGGTGGGCGGGGAGGACCTAACCTAGCGCGTGATACCATCTCAGAGTAGAAAAGTTGACTAGTATGAGGCATACAGGTTGGTTTTGTGCAAAAGTTTGTACCCTCTAAGAGCATGCACCTATCTAGCCTATAATAACATATACAAATATGTTTGACACATTCTTCCCACTCCCCTTTCCCCTGAAAACGTTTGTCAAGTCCTCTGAGCAGATAACAAAGTCCCCCAACAACCAATCACACACTTACAAAGACCCATCGCAGACAAGCGGCTGTACTGTACACGCATTGACCTTCGACGTGCTTTGTCGTACAGCGTCAGCCTTGCTTGCGACTCGTCGCGAGGGCGTATTTCTGATGGGAATTACCCAGATTTCAGCAAATTAACGGGTGATTTTTTCGCTGAACTCGGATTCTGACGGGTGTCTTTTCCAAAAACATGGTTTGAACCCGGATTCTGACAGGTGACTTTTGTCAGAACTGGTTGTGAAACCCGGATTTGAGAGGTAAATTTTGACAGAACAGGGTACTGAACACGGATTCTGACGGGTAGCTTTGGCCAGATACCCGGATTTGACGGATGCCCCAAAAACCAGACGTAAGCCCTGCTCGTCACAACAAGCTGGGCCTCGCAAGCACCTCACAATATATGCGCTAATACCCCTCGCATTGAGAAAGTTTCTTGAACATAATGAACCATCACCCGTGAAGTTTTGTGCTATCGTCATTATACTTGCACACTCGGGTATGGTGAAAAACAGGTGTTGGGGTCCCACCCCACCTAGAGCAGCGTCAGACTTCGAAAGAGGCCGCGAGGGTACAGGCTCCGTCAATCTAGTCGTTTATGTGAAATCCTGTCTTACGGCCCCATTGTTCCACCAGCTAAGAAACAACGAGTTCTCTACCCAATAGCGTGTAAACTCTAAAAATACAAGATTTCGACTTGGGCGCAGGAATCTGAGTCGACATTCAGAACCCTAAGTATTTCAGACTCGTTGACTCTTGGACACTGAGATTTCAGAGTAGCGAAAAATTGAAAACTGACTCTTCAGACTCGGGAATATTTTGGGGGGGGCAAAATCAGAGTGCCTTTTTTTGAAATGCCAGCCCTGGTTGTTGACGAAGTATGCGAAAAGTAACTAGGTAAATGATTGATGATATTGTTGAATACAAGCAAGGCTTATATAGCATACAAGAACAGTTATGGGAAAATGGTTTGTGGGACAGAATGGGATTACGTGGCGAAACGGTACATATGCATATGCATGGGTGGTTATACATCTGCATTGCATGTATAGTTATAGGCTAGATGGGTTCATGCTCTTAGATACAGTGACGGAAACAATTGTCAGGATGTTTTGCATTAATTAGGGTTTTTGGGATGTAAAGGATACTAATACCACCGAAAAATATACAAAGAGTACATCCGGACAACTTTCGCGCTGCGTTTCTAGTACCTAGTCCACCAACACTTGGCCTTGATCACCACCTGCACCCTCCTAGGCATTTTATCTACGAGATAAGTGCAAACCTTTACAGGGATCTTCTCGCACTCTTCCTGGACCCACCCTTTTGCATAAGGGGGTGAGCACTATATATTACTGTAGTACAACACTCAGCCCATATATCTTCTTATATGCCTTCCTAAAGACTACTTCGTTACTCTGACATGGTATCACGCTAGGTAGGTCACACATATCCGCGCTTCCGCCCTAGTCTACTGTAGGGTGCCTCGCCATAGAGCGCGCTCCTACCCTAGCTCGTCGCACCGCGCTGGCCCTCTGCTCGCCGCATCGGCCCCAGATTGCTGCGCCGCGCAGGACCCTAGCTCGCCGCGCAGGACCCTAGCTCGCCGCGCCTTGCTGGCCCCAGCTCGCCACGCCGGCTCCTACTTGCCGCGTCTGCCTCTGCTCGCCGCGTCGGCCGTAGCTCGCCGCCAGCCCCTGATAGCCACGCCGACCCCTGCTATCCGCGCCGGCCCCTGCTCGCCGCGCCAGCCCCTGCTCGCCGTGCGGCCCTTGCTCGCCACCGGCCCCAGCTCGTCGCCGATCCTGGTCTCTCCTCCGCGCCGGCGTTCTCGTCGGCCGTGCGCGCTCCCACACCTCACCTCGTTCCACTGCACTCCACCGCACTCCACCGCTCTCCACCGCACTTCACCGTCTCTCGCGGACTGGCACAGCCTGTTATGTCGCCGTGTGCTGGTCTTTAAGATGGATATGGATCAGATCTGCTCTACTTTGTATGCCATGTACTGTATGCTGATGACTCTAGTGTTACTGGACCTTATTACCCTGTGTTGCCTAGCCTAGGTTTTTATGCTGTGTGTAGTCTAGGCTCCCCTGCTGCATCAAGCGTAGGACCTCTTGACTTGATTAGCCTTGGTTCCACACTTGCGCCCCCCCCGGTCGACACTACCACCGCGCTCTCCTTCACACTGGACTCTGGTGCGTCTGCCAACTTCTTCCACGACCACACCACTCTCATGCCGCTTTTAAGATCAGCAGCAGTCTCCATTGCCGACCCCTCCTCCAGCAGTCTCTGGTGAAGGTAACAAGACAACTCAGGGCAGCACAACTAGTTTGACCATTGAGACAAGGGGCCCCAAGGCCAGTCAGTAGGTATAGCAACACATGCAAGTATGGAAATAGCAAGTACAAGCCAGCATAGTAGATATTCGGACACAAGGAGTGGCATTGCTAATTACAGAAACAATGATGGTCAGCGGTGTTGGCCTCTAAGGTCACGTGTACTACTCGAACCTACTGTTGCAACTTATGCAGCGGGAAGTACCACAATTGGACGTGCTTCGCTCTGCCATCAAATCGAGCCTCCTGACACAGGAGGATCATAGCTCTGTTGTAAGCAAACGGGGTCGAGGCAGACCTAGGCTGCTTACCTACAGTAAGTCTGTGAGCAAGAACGTCAGCCAGCGGAGCTCCTGAGCGGCCATGGCCCCAGCGTAGATCTGTGCCTCACAACAAGACTGAGCTACAGCTGACAACTTGATAGTCCTCCACGAGACTGCACTAGCACCAAGATTAAAACAGTAGCCCTGAGACGACCTGAGCGTCTCCAAGTCGTCAGCCCACGACGCGTCTGTACAGTATGTCAAGTAAGCACCACTGGCTTCCGTCCTCCTAGCACAAGCCCCAGTCTTGGTGTACTCGCCAGATACCCCAGTACCCTCATGGCAGCCGACCAGTGGACTGGTTGGTGCCTGCTTGTCGCAAACAAGCGAGCAAAGAGACTTAGAGGGTAGTGGGAGAAGGATGAGGGGGAAATGGAGGAGGAAGGAAGGGTACGGGGCAGTGCTGCAGAAATTTCCAAGGAGCCATTGAATCATCTGCTTATAGCCTTCTCTAACCAACAAGTGGTATCAGAGCCTATTATCACGCATTTGGGACCTAAAATACGATGGGAGATAAAGAGGACTCTGGTGGAGGTGATACTTCAGTCCAAGGAGGCAGCTCAACCCAAGATTCTGGCATTGCAGCGCAAAGGGGAGCGCGTACAAGCCAGGGGTCACTGCTTAAGGAGGTGCTGAAGAACTTCACCATTGAGAAGTTCTCTGGAGATGGCTATGATGATTGGGCATGGAAGATGCAGCTCTACTTTCGACAAATTGGCCTCTTGAAGCTCATGATTGGAACGGAGCCAAGGCCAAAGGAAATGGCAGAGCAAGCGGACTGGGATGAACGTTCATCTGCTGGGTACTATCTACTGTCACAAAGCTTGGAGCTGAACCAGAGGCATCACATCATGCATCTGCTACCGGAAATTGATTGTGGGCCCAAGGCATGGGCAGTGCTCAAGGACCTGCACGCTCCGACATCGGTTGCCGCTTCTCTCATGCTGGATCGGGAGCTGTCCATGCTGCGGTTGAGCGAGAATGAAGCTGTGCAGCCCGTACTGGACAAGATGAGGGAACTCTACGCGAAATTGGCGATTGCAGGCATCACGTACCCAGAGCAGACAAAGTGTCTCAAGATGCTCAGCCTGCTGCCGGAGTCTTGGCTGCAATTTATAAGCGGACTCAGCTTGCCACAAAACCAAAGTCAATGGACATTGGAGTGGATTCGCACCAAGATTCTGGAAGAAGATTTTCGTCGCTATACACTGCGCGGAGGTGATGACAGCACCAGCGGCTATGCCATGCAAGGGACATGGAGGGATCGAGGGCGTGGCAATCGCGGTCGCTCTTACCACAGCCAAGGTGGTCGCGGGACTTGGAACCAGCGGGGGCGTGGTGGCGCTGGTGCAAGAGGAAGAGGTGGTCACTCCAACAATGACAACAGTGAACCACGCTTGAGGGGAGAGTGCTGGTATTGCAAGGAAGAAGGGCATCCATGGTTTCGCTGCCCTACCAAGCCCGACTGGTGGACCCCTTGGAACCAATCGGAGAAGGGGAATGGAGGAAAACAACCACATGGAGGTGCCAACATGGTAGCTGATCCTGCTGAAGAAACCTCCAAGGATGACAGAGGAATGCGAAATGAGGAGAGGAATGCTGGACAGTTCTACCATGTGTGTGACAAAGATGACAGTGGCACAGCTGTTGCAAGGGCTGGAGAGGAATTGCACCCGCTTGACATGTGGGTCATGGACTCTGGTGCTGCATGGACAATGACACCACGCAAGGACTTGCTGGATGCTGTGCGAGCGCCTCCAATCTCTGAAGTGCGCTCAGCATCCGGACATGCAGTGAAGGTCGCTGGAGTTGGTCGAGCTGCATTCAGAGCACCTGATGGTGGACTGGTTGTGCTGAAGGATGTGTTACTCGTACCGGGGCTGAAGGCCAACCTGATATCGCTGCGCAAGCTAGGCCAGGCCGGAGTCAGCACCACCACCAATGGATCCAAAACATTCAAGGGGCTGCGAGGAGATCGTGTGTTATGGGATTTACACGAAAGCAGAGATGTCTTCAGATCCATGTGGCAGATCCCTGCACTGATATGGGAATCAACAAAGAAGGAGTTGGGAGAAGTAAAGGCGGGTTCTGGAGTCCAGGGGGAGTGTAATGCAGTTAGTGCTGCAGGAGTGACGGTTTCTGCAAGGTCGGGGGAGACTGATTGGGAAACCGCACACAGGCGTCTAGGGCATGTGGCTATGCCATTGCTGCAGCAACTGCATAAGGAAGAAGCAGTAAAGGGGCTCAAGCTTTCTGGGCAACCAAATGCTACCAAGTGCGAGACGTGTCTGCTGAGCAAGTTCACACGGTTCCCCTTTCACGGCGTAGCTGGGAAAAGCAAGGCAGCACTGGAACTGGTGCACATGGACCTCGTAGGACCTTTTCCAGTCCGAGGAAGTAAGGGGGAAAGGTACTTCCTGACAATAGTTGATGACTGGAGTCGGCTGATGTGGGCATACCCGTTGAAGCAGAAGGATCATGCTGCCTCAACAATACGAGATGATTGGCTGCCGTTCGTCGAGCGACAATCTGGGCACCCATGCAAGAGCATCAGAACCGACCGAGGTGGAGAGTTTCTAGGAGGAGATCTGACTGCGTGGCTCAAGAAACAAGGCATTGAGCATCAGCTAACGACGTCCTATACCCCTCAGTCAAATGGCGTTGCTGAGAGGGCTAATAGGACCATCCTGGAAACTGCGCGAGCGCTGCTGATCGAATCAGGGCTGGGGAACTCCATGTGGCCTCATGCGGTGAGGCATGCTACAGTGGCAAGGAACCGCGTACTCACAAAGGTGGCTGATGATATGTGGGTGCCGCTGGAGAGGTGGCTTGGAAAGAAGCCTCCAGTGGACATGCTTCGAGTGTTCGGATGCATGGCAGTGGCGCATGTCCCTAAACCGTACAGGACAAAGCTTGGAGCATCTGCACTTTGGTGTGTGCACCTTGGGCTTGCGGCAGAGAGCAAGGGGTGGCTACTCTGGGAGCCCTCAAAGAATGTGCTGTTTGATAGTCGGGATGTCAAATTTGTGGAGAACATCATGTATGGCAAGTGGGAGAAGCAGCCGGAGGCAAGGGTCACCCAGCAGCTGGAAGAGATCACTATGCACTTCGATCTGTCCGAACCTGAGGACAGCGAAGTCACTGCGCCAACGGCAAGCGGTACTGATGAAGGAAGCAATGAGGATATTGCAGCTGATGCTGAAGTCAAGGATCCGGAGCAGCAGCAGCAAGAGGCTTCCAAAACACCAAGTCTGTCAAAGCGAAGGAAACAGATTGGTGGGGGGACAAAGGATTGGGTGAAGGTGAAAGAATGGGTAAATCCAACCATCTACCCTGCACGTACCAGAATGGCAATGAGAAAGCTGTTGAGCTCCACAAGTGGAGGAGCCACAACTGAGCAGCAGGAACAGGCTCAAGGCGAAGATGCAGTGCTGTTCTTGGGTGATGACCAAGAGTCAGATGACAAGGAGCCTGCATACTGCTTTTACGCACCAATACAACCTCCGAGCATGGATCATGCGCTAGCCGGGCCTCAACGGGGGAAGTGGCTCGTTTCAAGAGATGCAGAGTACAACAGCAAGATGGAGAATCACACATGGGACCTGGTGTACTTGCCAAATGGGAAGAAGGCAATACAGTGCAAGTGGCTGGCAAAAATCAAGACGGATGAGAAAGGAGAGCCATCAGTTTACAAGAGCAGGCTGGTGGCAAAGGGGTTTCAGCAGAAAGCGAAGGAAGATTACAAAGAAGTGTTTGCCCCAACTGCTAAGTCTCCAACGCTACGTGTGCTGCTGGCGGTAGCTGCTGTGCGCAAATGGAAGGTGAAGCAGATGGACATCGTAACCGCTTTTCTGTATGGCATTGTGGAAGAGGAGGTATACATGGTTCAACCACCTGGCCATGAGGATGGAACCGGTCGTGTCTGCAAACTTAACAAGGCCATCTATGGCTTGAAGCAGGCCCCGAGATGCTGGTACAACAGGCTGGCCAGTGCACTGGAAGGGATTGGATTCCGTGCGAGTGCATGCGACGAGAGCCTATTCCTGATGAGCGAGGGGGAGTCGCTTGTGCTTCTGCTGGTGTACGTGGATGACATCCTGCTCTTCAGCAGCAGTGACAAGGAGATCGATGGGGTGCAGCGGAAGCTCACAGAGCAGTTCAAGTGCAAGTCACTTAGAGAGGCAAGGTACTACCTGGGAATGCATATTGAGCGGGATACTGAACGTGGCTGGCTCAAACTGCATCAGGGACAGTACATCAACACCTTGGCTGAGAAGTACTCTCTGCAGGAAGAACGGGAAGTGGTCACACCTTTGCCTTCCGAGTTCAAACTCATAAAGGCAGCTGAAGGAGAAGGAGTTGAGAGTGAAGACCAGAGGCAATTCCAATCCATGGTCGGGAACCTACTCTACGCTGCTGTGCATACTCGGCCTGACATCAGCTTTGCTGTGGGACAGCTGGCTCGAGTAGTGCAAAATCCAACAGAAGAGCAGTGTGGTGCAGCGAAGAGAGTGGTGCGCTACCTCAAGTCATACCCTACAGTGGGAGTACAGTATTCAGCCTCTGCTCAACTCAGTCAAAAAAGAATTGAAGTCCTCAAAGAGAAGGGGGAGCAGCTCGGAGAAGGAAAGGTGTTCCTTTCCTGTTTTGCTGATGCCACGTGGGCTTCTGAGCATGAGGATTCATCATCAGTTGGTGGATACATCTGCATGGTGGGAGGTGGGCCTGTAAGTTGGAGGTCCAAGAAGCAGTCTGAGACGGCACTATCTTCAGTGGAATCTGAGTACATGGCGATGTTTCATGCGGCAAAAGAAATCATCTGGCTAAGGAGGCTCTTGAAGGAGATCGGCCATGAACAGACTTGTGCGACACCTCTGTTCAGTGATAGCAAGGGAGCCATTGCCATGGCACGCAATGCAGTTCTTCATGGGTTGAACAAGCACATGAGGATCATGTGGCATTGGCTGCGGAAGGAGGTGAAGCTTGGGACACTGGATCCGATCTACGTGAAAACTCAGCAACAGCCAGCCGACTTCCTTACCAAGCGGCTAGCTGAAGAGCCACACTGGCGCTGTGCGAGGATGGCGGGAATGTCCTTGAACTAGAGACGGCGAAACAAGCCGACAGTCTGAGGGGGAGTGTGTTGGTGCATATTCGTTTGCACGTCATCCTGTCGTCTGTTCGCATCATTTCGTTGCATGTGTTTTGTGTGCTACGTTGTTTGTATGGTTTGTTGGGTTTGCATGTCTTTGCATGTTCATCTTGTGCTTGTGCAGATGTGCTTGGATTGTGCATGACATCGAGCACATTCCAACGAGCCAAGAATTGTTGGAATCGGAGCACATATAGCTATAACGGAGTGGGATATCAAAGGAGGAAGCTGACACTGCCAGCTACAACATATCCTTCTCCCACTCCCCAACTCGCGACCTTCGAATAGCTATAGACTCATCTCCAAGACCTTGGAATCGAGCACATGCTCTCCCAACCCTACACTCATCCACAACAAGGCATTGCTAAACTTACCAACCGCACCCTACAGACCAAAGTAAGGGCGATGATGCTCCAGTCTGGACTGCCCCCACAGTATTGGCCCTATGCAATGCACCAAGTAGTACGCCTTCACAACCTACTGTCCTCCACTGCCAATGAAGACAATCAATCCCCCCATCTAGCCTGGATAGGAAGGCCATGTGACACTACCATGTTGTGAGTCTGGGGCTACATGGTCCAGCATTGACCTCATCATGCCATGATTGGGAAGTTCGAAAGGCGAGCTCGCTGGGGCGTCCACCTCGGACGAGTACCAAGCGTGGACGATCTTGGACCTGGAGAGTTCCAACATAATCCCTTTCAAGGACATACTCTTCTATGAATGTCTCACTCTGAAGAAGTTCTGGGCAGATCCATCTACAGTACCAATAGGGCAGCAGCCTATGCACGAGGAGAACGCAACTTCGTCTCTTCAGAAGACGAAGTTGCCGCTGCTCGACTGGACATGCACCCACCTGATGAACACCTGGGAAAAAATCCACACTTCGACCATGACGACGACGTGGACAACGCCCCCCTCGACCCCTCTCGCGACAAATTGTGCGAAGACGGAACCACCGGGACCCTTGAAGACCCACAACTTCACACAAACTCGGACGATGACGTGCGAGAAGTCACCGAAGGTGTGACTTGTACCACAAGCCTCCCAAGCCTCCACATCCTCGGCCTTCATGCAACAGTTTATCAGGGCCTCTCCGTGATCGAGCCAAAAACACCCCGTCACGCTCTCCCCAGACCCCATCGCACCTAATGGCGCAAGGCCATGGACACTAGACTTTTCGCACTTCGCTCTCGAGACACCTAGGTTCTGGTGGACCGCGCAGCAGTGAAGGGGAGGAAGATCCTATCTGCCAAATGGGTCTACCGCGTCAAGCCAGACGCCCAAGGAAACTTCGAGCACTACAAAGCACGATGGGTCGTAGGAGGCTACGATCAACGTCATGGCATCGACTTCAACCTAACCTTCGCCCCAGTTAGTCGTCACACCTCTGTGCGTATTCTCCTTGACATCACCGCATGTCGACACCTAGGGTTCCGACAGATCGACATCAAGAATGCGTTCCTATATGCAAAAGTTGATGCTCTGATCTTTGTCGAGCAATCTCACATCTACGGCGACGGAAACCCTCACGTATGCCAGCTCCAAAAGACCCTTTACGAGGGATCAAGCATGCACCTCGTCTCTGGCAGTAGCACCTACATGACATTTTGCTAGACATTGGTTTCACCCAGCTACCCCATGACCCCGGGATGTACCGTCTCCAAGTCCGCAGGGACTACATCCTCCTTACAGTCTACGTCGATGATCTGCTCTACACCGGCACCAACCAAGGCTTACTCGACCAGTTCGAGCAAAACCTGGGAGAGTGCATCGACATTACCACCTCCAAGGCCATGACTCAATCTCTCTGTCTCAACATCTCCTACATGCCAAAAGCCATCCACCTCTCCACATCATAATATGTCGAGGCCCTAGCAAAGAAATTCAACCTCACGCCGACACTGCTCTCCACACCCTACTGTACACCTGCCGTAAGCTACAAGACCAACACCAAGACGCTTGCCCTTGCCGCACATCAAATCTACCAGCAGCAACTCGGCTGCCTGCTGTTTGCCGCCGTCATGTGCCGACCTGACCTATCCTATATCGCCAGCCAGCTCGCCTTATACTCTCGGTGACCTGAAGGGGAGAATCTCTTGGACCTACAGCGAGCCCTCCTATACTTTGTTTCGACTCCCAACATCGGCCTTACCTACTCCACCATCACTACACCCTTATTTCAACTCACATGATACGTCGACGCAGACCACGCCGCATACCCTGCTAATCGTCGTTCTCGTACAGGCTTCTTCTTTCGACTGGAACCTACTGGACCTATCTCCTGGAACTCACAGAAGCAGGAGCTGATTGCTCTCTCCCCAGATGGAACAAAATACATCGCAGCAACATTTGCTGTTCGCGAAGGACTCTAGCTTCAAGAACTACATCAAGAAGCGAAGCTCAGCACCTCGCCAACATTCAAGTTACACTGCAACAACCATAGCGCAATCAAGATTACCAACAAGCCTGGCTTCATCAATCGCACAAAGCACATTGCCCTGCGATACTTCTTCGTCAAAGACAAAACCGACAAAGGGAAAGTGGACCTGTCATACTGTCCTACTAGTGACATGGCAGCTGACTTTCTCACCAAGAAGATGCCACGACAACCAGCACTACACCGAGCTTTGCTGAATCTCCAAGCGTGCCAAGCTCGAGTACCTTCTGTTAAACCAAGCTAGGTAGGAGGGAAGCCATGGAATGGCGTGAGGTTTCAGGCTAGGAAACTTGAGGAGAGAAAAGGGGGATCGAGAATAGAAGAGAGAGGGATACAAGGAGGGGGGTTGTACCCTCTACAGTAGGTTTCAGTAACACCTACCAAACCTACCAATTATATAACAAAATATATAATTTAACACACCCCCTAGGCTTGGTAGTAACAAGCCCACACACACCCACACCCCCTAACCTAGCCCGCCCTTTCCCAGCAGCAGCCGCGATGACTCCGGAATCGGTCAACACCCACAGCCCGGGAGATGGCAATGGCGGCAGTCGCGGCAGTGATGAGAGCGACTGCGGCGGCGGCGTGCGGCGGCAACAGGCCAGCGGCAACGGCGGCGGCGGTGACGGCTTCAAAGTCAGAGGCGAGTGCAGCGGCCCCCGCCCTCTCAGCGGCATGGCCAATCTCCTCGGTGATGGGAAGGCCCTCACGAGGCAGGCGTCAACTGTGGCAAGGAAGATGGTAATGGCGGCAACGGCGGCAGTGACGAGAGCGGCGGCGAACAGCGGCGAGTGGCGGCAACAGGCCAGCGGCAACAACGGCAGCGGCGGCTTCAATGTCAGAGGCGACTGCAGCAGCCCCCGCCCTCTCGGCGGCATGGCCAATCTCCTTGGCAAAGGGGAAGGACGGGGGTTGGGGGGGGGGGGGGGGGAATCTTCAGCGAGGCACCATGGCTGGCGCGACGCTTACTGGCGTGAGGGCGTTACGACTGGCGCCTAGGACAGGGCGCTGGCCGTAGCTGTCCGTGCGCTGGCGTGGCGAAGCCGCCACGGCAGCACGACGGCACGGCGGCACGGCGACCCAGCGGCACGGCGGCGTGGCGGCACGGCGTGACGGGGCCAGCGCGGCGTGACGTGGCCAGCGCGGTGTGACGGGGCCAGCGCGGAGTGACGGGGCCAGCACGGCGAGACGGGGCCAGCGTGGAGGACAGGGCCGGCGCGGAGTGATGGGGCCGGCGCGGCGTGACGGGGCCAGCGCGGCGTGACGGGGCCAGCGCCGAGTGACGGGGCCAGCGCGGCATGACGGGACCAGCACGGCGTGACGGGGCCAGCGCGGAGTGACGGGGCCAGCGCGGCATGACGGGGCCAGCGCGGCATGACGGGGCCAGCGTGGTGTGACGGGTGGGGGGGGAGTACGCTGCGGAAGCGTGAAGAGAAGGCCCGAGCGAAAGGGGCCTGCTCTGAAACCATGTTAAACTAAGCTAGGTATGAGGGAAGCCATTGAATGGCGTGAGGTTTTAGGCTAGGAAAGTTGAGGGGAGAAAAGGGGGATCGAGAATAGAAGAGAGAGGGATACAAGGAGGAGGGTTGTACACTTTACAGTAGGTTTCAGTAACACCTACCAAGCCTACCAATTATATAACAAAATATATAATTTAACACCTTCACCAATGAAGGGGAGTGTTATGATAAGGAATTATTAACATTCATGAAAGTGACACTCGAGCGGTAACTCTTGTTGAGTTCGCATCTATGACGAGCCACGAAGTGCAACGGTCATTGGCCGTTGACCGAACAGACAGAAGTTCAAGGGTAGTACACATGGTCTTTGATTCATTTTCGTTTTTGTTTGGAGGCCGAATTTTCAAGCCAAAATTTTAGGAAGTCTGACTAATCAGGCCTCAGTTTTTGCCTTAGCTGTAATTTGCGGCCAATTATAGAGGGAGAGCTCATCGCCCAGCTAAAATTTGGACTTGAGGGATATTTCCTACTGCCTCTCGTCAAACTTGCTTTGCGTCCAACATTCTCGGACTTCAGCGAACTGTAAAGTACGTGTCGCGAGGCGCAATCGCAAAAGTGTAGTGACGAGAGGCTGTGAGAGACACTCCAACGAAACTCCAATTGCTCGCGCAATTATAACATGACCCTGGTTGCGACCGCGACCCTGGTGTCATGTACACGTGTACCCCCCTGAAAACTGCCCATTTAGGGCCGAGCCCCATCAATGCCGGATCTCGGCGGAAGAGTACACAGGGGGGTGGAGGGGGGTGGGGGGGTGTGGGGGTGGGGGGGATCAGATTCTGCTTCAGGCTGATTTCTAGTAAAGGCTGTTTCGTTAGGCTCTCTAAAACAGCAATATACGGATTTTCAGGCTTACGAAATCAACAACCCCTAAAAATCTGGATTAACAAAAACCGAAGTATGAAAATTCAGGGTATGAAAAAAAAACACCCTGATATACAGATTTTCAGGCCTTTTTAGCCTGAAATCTGAGACCCTGGTCCGACACAATAGCAAGGACACATAACTGTGTCATGATACACGATGGGGTTGCCCTTGGTCCTCGGGGAAGGGGTTATGGGCGCACTAACCCGCTACTTAACAAGCCCTTTTAACTCAGTGGTTATTGACTGAGTTCTAATATGGTATTGGAGTTGGGTGACCACCCGAGTTCAATTTCTAATGTGCACTGGAGAGGTGGCAGTGCTACAGAGGCACTTGTGTCTTCCGCCTACCCCAGCGAGGGGGGGTGTCATGATACATGCTGCGGTTGCCCTTCGTCCTGGGGGAAGGGTCACAGGTGCAGAGCCTGGGGGGTTATGGGCACACTTACCCGCTACTTAACAGGCCCTTTTAACTCAGTGGTTAGTGACTGAGTTCTGATGAATTGAATCTGTAATACAGCGTGGGCAGTTACCCGATTCGTGTGCGGTTACCCAAGTCGGATCTTAATGTCAACTCATATATATTTGTTGTTATAGGCTAGGTAGGTGCATGCTCTTAGAGGGTACAACACCCAAGCATAAGAACCCTTGTATGCCCTTGTCTAGGTCAATGCGTTATTCTGAGACTGAAACCTTAATGGAATGTACCCCTGCTAAGTGCATCTTGATAGGAGAGGGTTTAGCTAGGTAGGAGAAGTTTAGCGAGAGAAAAAGAGAGGGAACTAGACAAGAAAGAGAGATACAAGAAGGGTGTTGTACCCTCTACAATAGGAACCAGCACTCTGTAGTACACCTACATAGCCTATACATATACATCTATAAAATATATATATTGACACACCCTCTAGGCTTGATATGCGATACGCAGACAAGAGACCAGGGCAATACTACTAGTCTGTCCATTGGTGTTCATAGTAATTTAGGTCAAAACACACCATACACACAGCACCTCTAAGCCCAACACCCCCTAAGCCTAGCACCCCCATACTCAGCAGCAGCGGCGGCTTCTTCAGCGCGGTCGACCCCTCGTCGTGCGAAGTGGCAACATCGGCAGCGAGGGCAGCGGCGGCGGCGGCGGCGGCAACAACAACAGTGGTGGCAGCGGCGGCAGGCGGCGGCGGCAGAGCCAGCGGCACCTGCGGCAGCGGTGGCTTCGACGACAGCGGCGGAGCCCGCAGCACCCGGCGGCGGGGAAGGACCGCGTGAGTCAGCTGTCAGCTGCGGCGGGGAGGAGGGGGACGCAGGGGAGGGGGCAGGTCTTCTGCAACGGAGCCAAGGAGCGAGCCGCCCTAGCTGGCGTGCTGGCTGCATGCGGGCGTGCTGGCCGGCGCTAGATCAGCGTGCTGGCCGCTGCCGTCCGTGCGCTAGCGCGTCGAAGCCGCCACGGCAACATGACAAAGCCATCATGGCAGCGCGTCGACGCCACGGCAGCACGTCGAGGCCGCCACAGCAGCATATCAAGACCGCCATTGCAGCCCGAGGAGGCCGCCACGGCGGCGCGAAAGTGAGAGGAGGGGGGAGAGTACGCGGCGATAGCGTGAGGAGAAGGCTCAGCAGTATCAGCCTGCTTTGAAACCATGTCAGAACTCAGTCACTAACCATTAAGTTAAAAGGGCGGGTCAGTGCGCCCATACCCCCCCAGGCTCTGCACCTGTAGCCCTTCCCTGAGGATCTTCTCAAGGGTAACCCCAGTGGGTCTCTCGACACCCCCCCTCGCTGTGATAGGCGGAGCGCCTTTGCAGCGCTAGCACTGGGAATTTAAGCCGAGTCACCAAAGCTCTGATACCATCTTAGGAAAGGGTTTAGCTAGGTAGGAGAAGTTTAGCGAGAGAAAAGAGAGAGAACTAGATAAGAGAGAGAGAGAGAGAGAGAGAGAGAGAGAGAGAGAGAGAGAGAGAGAGAGAGAGAGAGAGAGAGAGAGAGAGAGAGAGAGAGAGAGAGAGAGAGAGAGAGAGAGAGAGAGAGAGAGAGAGAGAGAGAGATACAAGAAGGGTGTTGTACCATCTACAATAGGAACCACCATTCTGTAGTACACCTACCTAGCCTATATATATATACTGTATATATATATATAATATGTTGACACATCTTAGTTAGACCCTTTGCATTCTCGTGTATCACTATATCAGGCCCTGCGATTGGTTTAGAGGTCCGCTGATTGCCTAGTGTTACCCTAAAAAAAAAAAAAAAAAAAAAAAAAAAACTTTCGCACATGGCTGGGATCAGTCGGGGTCCTGATTTTTCAGTGTTCGTGCTGAGTTTTAGACTTTCTAAGCAGGGTTACTTCGAGTTTATTGGCTGATGTTGCCGAAGTACGAGATGTGACTAAGCATGTGTCGCTGCACTTTCAGACGCACAATGCCCATTTGTAGAACATAAGCAAACCTCGCCTCTACTTTTCTGTCCTTACTTTGGCCTCTCTAGTTTTGACAGCAGCTTGTCACACTACTGTAGCTCTCTTTCTGGCCTTACTTTGGCCTCTCTAGGATTACTGCATCTCTCTAGCTCTAACAATCAAAGCTTAACACATCTGCCTCACTGCCAGGGGAACCTAACTTGCTAGCTACTAATCTTCATCGTTATCATCCCAACGATCCTGTGCATCATCCCCCACGAGCTCCCCACCTTCCTCCTCCATCTCCTCCCCCTCCTCCTCATCCTCTTTCTCCTTCCCTTTCTCGCTCTCCAATCGTTTCTTTGGCCTCGCAGTCATGTTGAAGGGGTGCCGCTTCTTGTTAACTCCACCAGATGTCGACAACTTCCGCCTAGTTGGGCTCGTAGTCCAGTAGCGACATAGCCATCAGATCTGACAGGCAAGTGTCCTTGATGGCCCCGCGCTGCCAGCTCTTGATTATGTTTTGGCGTGAGAAGCCTCGTTCGCACTCCACCGTGCTCAGCGGCAGGACAGCCACCGCGATCCAGAGCTTCACCAGGTTAGGGTAGGCGTCCTGCCAGTCCGGTGTCTTCAGCATTTCGGAAAGCCCAGGGTGAAAGCCTTTCTCGCACTTCGGGGCAGCAGCTCGGATGGGGCAGAAGTTGCGCAGCTCTTTGATGGCCTTGCGCTTGTCAATGCTTGACACACAGGGGAGAGTGAGGCAGGATATTAGAGGGCAAGGGTGGTGGTTCCTAGAGGCATTATTACACCAGGATGCGACAAGGACAGTGTATTGGGTAAGGTTATGGGGGGTGGACATGGTATTGAGGGAAAAGGAGTAGGTTCTTAGAGGCATTGGCACATAAATGGGGGAGGCTTACTTACCCGGCACTATCTCGTCCGACTACTGCGCCTGGAACAAAGCCACAAGAGACATCAGGTGCTCGAGGCAGAGGGCATTGCGCTCTTGCCGGCCCAGCGGCCAGTCCTCCGATATGAAAAGACGGCAGCCAGACAAAGAGTCCAGATCGCCTAGCCAGTCAAGAAGATTGCCGACCATTGCCTCAGCCATTGCCGTGCAAAGATCCACGCTGCCGTTGTGCGTGAAGGGCCCATCGTAGCCGTCGATGGGGTCATCATGAAGTAGGTACGTGTGCGTTGTGGGGCGGCCATCGGCGTCAACCCCTTGGACGGTCACTTGTCGACATCCTCCTTCCCCATGGAGGCGCAAGAATGTGGAGAGGTGCTCACTGAGGCCTCCACCGAAGTCACCACCGCAGTTAACGTAGCGGGACTCAATGAAGCTAGTGGTGCAAGCGATCTGAGACTGAACGGCGGCGTAGTCGATCTGCAACTAGGCAAGATAAGTGGGAGAGATTCATGAGTAGAGGGCGATCATGTGTGTAGAATGTTTAGTTCGTTTTGGGTCAAATCAAAAAGCGTATGTGTAGCAAGGCTCACCTGCCGCTGCTGGAACGTCTTGTTCAAGACGTTCAGCTACTCAAGCAGATCGGCAAGGAACAGGAGCAGAAACTGGAACATGTAGCTAGTGGCCATCTTGTACATCCTCATGTCACCAAGCTCATGCATCATAACAATGATACCTGACAAAACGGCCACCAACCTCAGGACGGCCTCACCGCGGCTCGAGCCAGCGGACATTGAAGCTCGAGACTTGTCTGGAAAAACGTTTCTTGGAGGTCCAAGAAGCGCTGGTGCCACGGGCCCGACCGACCGAGAAACTCCGCCAACCACCGAATGAAAGCATCCGCCATTCAAAATTGCGGCGAAGAGTTTGCCGCATCCTTGGCCGCCAACGCTTCCCTGCATATACCCCAATTAGATACTGTGTTAATAGAACTTTGACAAACAACATTAGGGGAATTTCATACATCCATCGACTGTGGTCACCTGTAAGCAATACAGTGGCAAGAGACCAAATGACGGATGCGGGTGCGGAGCCTCGCCACAACACCATTCCGTACACCAGTCATCACTGCAGCTCCATCTGTGTTGATGCCGGTAATGCGGTTGAGGTCGATGCCGATGGCTCCCAGGTACGACAGAAGCAAGGCAAGGAGAGAGGCTGCATCAGCTCAGTCGACGGTCTGGAGTGCGAGAAACTCTGTAACAACGGCGCTGTTCTTGACAAAGGTTGCGTAGACAATGAGGTGCTTCCCGCGGCACCGATCCGTGGACTCGTCGCAGCTTAGACCGAGGTAGAGACTGGCTCGAATGTGGTCCATCTGTGTTGTCCGAAGCCATGTTGCGGTTGCCTGGGTGAATTCTCCAAAGCCGTACCTACATGGAAATCCCATAATGTATAAATTAGACGGCTCAAGGCAGTTGAATATTCAACAAAGTGCATAGAGCTGGTAATGGTAAATCAGCATTAGCAAAATGCTTACGCGCTGTAATAGTTGTCGTAGGCTTTCTTGGGAAAGTCATGCACTCCCTTCTTTGCCAGATACTTCACGAGCCGAACCTACGCCTCCATGGGCTCATTGCTCTGGCAGTTGAACAGCAGCGCGTCCAGCAGAGCCATAGCGCGCTCTTTCTCTATGTCTATGGCTGCAGGATGTTGGTCAATGTGTGGTTGCTGCGTTGCCGCTTGAAAGAGACCCTTCTGTCTCTGCATCGCGAGCTTGTGCTTGTTCGTGGCGGCATGGCGTTTAAATGCTTGCGATTGGACGTCAGTTGCACCCTTCCCCTTGCGGCCGCATTTCCCATTGTCCCCGGCATGTTCTGAGCAGACACTGCACTTGAACGCAGGGAATCCACCAGGGGTCTAAGTCAGGATTAGCCAAGGATAGCGCTCCTGCCACAGTGTTTTGTGCTTATCAAGAGCATCGGAGTACAAAACCTCAATAAGAGTTTGTGGGGGGCTGGGGAGGTGATGTAGAGACGAACGGTAGTGTCTCCTGCCGGTAGCGAGCCGCTCTCACCGCAGGGCATACGCTAGATCCGGGCCGGTCCACCGGCGTCGAAGCCAGCTGCGCGCTGCGCTCGACACGCCTCAATGCAGCGCCGCTGGACTCGGGCCGGTCCAGAGGGGTCGGCCCCGATGGCGTGCACCGCACAGCACGCCTCGATGCAGCGACGCGTAACTCGGGTACGACGCATTTGGGAGGCTGCACATGAGCGCTCCTCCTTGAACGCCACGGTCGTAGTCCAGTCTCTGGCGAGCCTTCTGACGCTGTGACTGGAGGATCCTCCGCAGGGACCCACACAGGATCAGGGAGCGGGTGGGTCTCCCGGTTTGGGAAGCAATGGGAAACGGGGCGGGATCGATCACATCGGTAGGTGCTACGGTACTCTGGGAGACCTCCTGAACTAGCGAGGGAGGACTAGACTCGGGCAGTGGGGCAGAGCTAGATGTCACTACAGGTTGTATTGGGAGTGACTTAGCAGAAGGCGGGACTGACGCAAGCAGTAAGTGCAACACAGAGCACGGCTCTGGTGGTTCATCAACAGCCATAGCTCCGTCATTGGGACAGTTCCCCCCACCCGCAGCCATGGCGAGAGCTGGCTGGGCAGGGTGTGAGAGAAAAGGCAGCCGTGGCTGCCGAGGTGTAGGAAAATCTGCTACTGTGGTTTAGAATTGGGGATAGGCAGAGCTTCGACAATCCCCTGGTTATGCTAGCTGCAGACTCCAGGAGACTGCACTCAATGGTGGGGCGGCGCTCTGGTACACGACCGAGAAGGTCACCTAGTCAGGGGCGCGTGATACTTTCAAGGCCAGATTCACTGCGTGCGTCGCAGCACGAAGCCAGCGCAAATGCCTTTATTTCGTGCTGCCTGTTTCTCATAGACCTTGACGCAATGATTTCGTCAAGTGCCAATGGGAGACATTTCCTGCGGAATGCTGTCGACAGCGCGACAAATTTCGGCAAGATTCGCATCGCGCCCTGGCACTGTTACAAAATTCATGCCGTGACTGACCCGAGGGGGGGGGGGGGGCGAGAGTCACACCGCCGACACCTTGAAATTTCCGTAATCATAGGAGTTGTTTGTTTCAGTGTTGATACGCGATTATGGGCTGTGTGTGTTAAAATTATATAAGTTATAATTTTATATAGGCTTGGTAGGTTGCTACTGAACCTTTCTGTAGGGGGTACAAACCCCTCCTTGTACTCCCTTCTCTTTCTAATCCATCACTCTTTCTTCTCGACTTTACTCCTACTCCTAGATCCGTTTTTCCTAGCGCCGTTCCATGGCGGCATTGCTCCTATCCTAGCTAAGCTAGTGTCCTAACTTTAGGGACCTAGCATCCTAAGTTCTTAGCATGGTATCAAAGCAGGAGATCCTTCCTGCTGGACTGCCTCCTCTCGCTTCCGCCATTTACTCCTCACCCTCATTCACTCCAGCGGCCATGGCGGCCGCGTTTTGCTGCAGTGGCGACGTCGCGCTGCCACTGGGCGCGTCGTGCCGCGACCGGCCCGACGCGCTGCCGCGGAGTCGGGCCGTCGTTCTGCAGTCGCAGCGTCGACGCCCCGCTGCGGCATCGACGCTGCCATGGCGGCCGTGGCGGCGTCACGCTGTGGCGTCGTCGTCTGTTCGCCGGCTGCGCCGTCCTGCCGCGGCCGTCTCGACACGCGACCGGGACGACGTCAGCGCGACGCCGCGGCTGCGCCCCTCCTGGGCCTCGTCGCGCCCTGCCTGGCCCCGTCGCCCTCTGCCCGGCCCCGTCGCCCCCTGCCAGGACGCCGTCGTCCCGCCTGTAAGCGCCGCGCCATTTATGGCGCGACGCTGAAGACTCGCCCCGCCCCCCCCCCCCCCCCCCCCCATTCTCCCTTCCCCCTGCGTCTTCCCTTCCTCCTGTCGCAGCTGCTGTCTTCTGCCCGGACGTTGCCACATCGCCGAGAGCCCTCAGCCACGGCAGTCGCCGCCTGTCGTCGGCGACCCAGCCGCCTTGAGCCAGAGCTCCGCGGCTGCTTGTCGCTGACCCGCCTAGACGCCGTCGGCTGCCTCGTGTACGGGGGTGTGTCAACGCTTTGCCTGAGGGTCAGATACCCGGCTAAGCACGAGCCTGAGGGTGTGCGGGGTTAGGGGGTGGGTTGGGTGCGGGTGTGGGGGTGTGAGTGGGCTTGACACTACCAAGCCTAGGGGGTGTGTTAAAATTATATAAGTTATAATTTTATATAGGCTTGGTAGGTTGCTACTGAACCTTTCTGTAGGGGGTACAAACCCCTCCTTGTACTCCCTTCTCTTTCTAATCCATCACTCTTTCTTCTCGACTTTACTCCTACTCCTAGATCCGTTTTTCCTAGCGCCGTTCCATGGCGGCATTGCTCCTATCCTAGCTAAGCTAGTGTCCTAACTTTAGGGACCTAGCATCCTAAGTTCTTAACAGTGTGGCCTCAGTGTCTGCTATAAAAAGCACTATGAAAATTCAGACGCTTACATAGAAAAAATACCTTTTCAATAAGGTGGTAGGCCCTTCAAAAACTTTCTCATCAAGGTGGGTGCATGAAAAGACAATGAAAAAAGCGTAATCAGGAAAAATATCCTGATATCGTGGGGCCTGCACTATATGAACCTTGTATCTCTGTGCTACCGGTATAAACAATTCCGTTAAGCGTGGTTCCCTTAGTGGGAGGCTCCAACCCAGACAGAGTTCCTTGACCAATCAAACGCTTCCGCAAAGCGCACACCTACAGTTCAATCCTGAATATCCTCCGGACTATATTTTATCGCTTGAAAGACAAACACCCCACGCCACCTAAGTTGCATACCGTGAACACCTGCACTTCAAGTGTAGGAAGCTAGTCAATGTTTTAGATCGTTACAAGAGTGTAGACATGTGGTGAACTTTCACAGCATGTCCAGTGCAGGTTAGAGCGTCGGTGATTCTACACCAAAATCGTGAGAGCCACAAAGTCGTTCACTCATCTGTCCCATAGAGATTATTCCCTCTCAATGCGCGGTTCCCTTAGTGGGAGGCTCCTTAGGTTGCCGATGGAACTCTCTTCGCTTAGTCTCCTAGACCACGGTCTTTTCTCCTAACATTTAGCGTGCATTCCGTCTGCATTGGCTTGGGAACTGCTTTCAAGCGAGAGGTCGGTGTGTTGTGATCGCCCACTTTGCGGGCTGTTTGTGGTTTGACCTTGATAAACGGAACTGCCCGACATGGCTAAGTTTCTAGCGACACCAAGTATGAGGAGTCTTTTCAAGTCTAGCAAGCCGAAGTCGCCTGCTGAGCTGGTAAAGTCGACCGTTGAGTTGCTGACGTCCTTGCGAAGCTCCCAAGACGCGAAAAAGACTGCGAAGGTATGCACAGCACTTTACGGACTTATAAGTCTCACGATTGCCATCTGAGATCGTTTTAATTCTTGAAATTTCAGATAGTAGAAGACCTGGAGAAGCATTTGTATGACATGCGTATCGTGTTGTATGGGGACACTGAGACGTTCCCTAACGCAGACGCAGTAACTCTTGTGGGGGCAGAGGTGTTCAAGGGGGATTTTCTTGAACTTCTTATACGGAACCTTAGCTACCTAACTCTAGATGTAAGTGATCTCGTTGCAGTGCTCCTTTTGTGTCCTTCGGATTTATAGTGCTGATTCGATTGTTGGCGTATTTATTGTGTGCAGTCAAAACGAGATGCGGTTCAGATCAATGCTAGCCTGCAAAAGAGGCAGATTCAAAATCGTATGGTCGCGGGCGAGTATCTCATGGAGCATACGGACCTTCTGGATCTCCTCATAAAAGGGTATGCGCGAATTGGCTGTAAGGCAGGGCTATCAGGTCGAAATTTCACAATATGTACTTCCGCTGTTGCAGATATGACGATCCAGTCCTGGCGCTCTACTACGGGTTGATGCTCCGGGAGTGCATTCGCCACCAATCAGTTGCGAAGTATGTATCAGTTGAAAACTCCTTTTTGTTCCTTTCGTGGCGTTGCGTCGCTTTTGATAGTGACTGAGCCATTGTGTTGCAGGTACGTCTTGGAAAGCAAAGATTTCTTCAAATTCTTCCATCACGTGGAGCTACCCAGTTTTGAAGTTTCTTCTGACGCTGCTGCAACATTTAGGGTACATCCTTTTATGATTAATGAAACCATTTTATTGTTTCCCGCCTCACGCATCTCTGACACACTTTGCCTTTTGGGTATACAAACGCCTGCAGGAGCTCTTGATGCGGCACAAGGCCACAGCTGCTGATTTTGTATTGAAGAATTACGACAAGGCAAGTGTGTGACTGTTGGAGGTGAGCCTGCTTTGTGTAGATGGCTGTATTACAATATGCTCAAACCATTGCTTTGCTGGCACAGTTCTTTGAAGCATACAACAAGTTATTGCAATCATCTTCTTACATTACAAGACGCGTTGCAACTAAGGTCAGATATTCGCCCTCATCGTTGTTGTTTATTATGGCGTTCCAGTGTCCCTGTCCCTCCTGTTGCTTTCTTTCTCTTTTATTTTCTTCTCCCTCTCTGTTTCTGGTGGAACCTAATCTCTTCCTAAAAAGCTTATGTTCACAGCTCTTGGCAGACATGCTTTTGGATCGTGCCTATGTGATGGTGACATTGAGATATGCGAGCGATGTTGGCAATCTGATTGTGTCCATGAATCTTCTCAGGGTAATTGTGTTTTTCCTTTACCATATCTCTTTTTGCTCTTTGTTTCTGTTGCAAAGCCTAAGTACTTCATTGACCCGTCTCCCGCTTTTGACAGGATACAAGCAAAGTGATTCAAGTTGATGCATTTCACATCTTCAAGGTGTGTTATTTTTTAAGGGCAGCTGTAGCTCATGTGGTGTCAGGTGCACAAGATACAGCCGCAATTCCTGTGCACAACTCCGTGCTTCCGAATCAACCTCCCAATGTGTTCATTCAGGTGATTGTGGCCAATCCGAAGCGGCCACAAGATGTTCAGCTGATTCTTCTCAAGAACAAAGATAAGCTGCTTCGTTTTCTGCCAGCGTTGACACTCGAGAAGGGAACAGAAGCAGGTATAACATTTCTCTTTCGTCTGTCCTCAACGCAAGCTTTTTTGTTTGTGATAATTATTTCGAACCTACCTTCTATGGTTTCTATCTTCATGCAGAGGTTTCGTCATTCGAGGGGGACAAACAAGCAATTCTGAAAGTGATCGAATCAATGCAACTTAGAGACATTTCCACTGAGTCGTGATATCCAGCTAGCAACCGTATCATGCTCTCAGGGTGCAGTAGCACCTGTATCAGTAACTCATAGCAATGCATTGTAGAGCATTGCTAAAGCATCTCCTTAGCCTTCCCAATCTTTAGGCGATGTATGCATTGCTTCTTAAGAAGTGTAATCCAAATTACTTAAGTTGAGTTACACAGCAGTCAGGAAGACGAAGCCGCACGTGTCAGCGTGATTGCGTTCATTGACTACAGGCCGCAACCTGCCGCCCCTTTCGCGCACGAGGAAGGTGAACCAGCGCCATGGCAGCCTCCTGCACTGTAGAGTCCTCCCCTCCAAAGCCACCTTCTGAGATAAATCAACCGTCATTCCCAGCAAGCTCGAATGGGCGAGGCCAACACTGCTGCAGCTTTCTGACTCCCTCCTTTTCAGGCCCTCAGCATTCAGCAGAAACGGTTGCGACTTCCATTGCTCTCCATCGCAGTGCTCATCCGCAAGAATTCCGGGCCGCGTTGCGATGGTAGGTGTCTGAGTTGCAACTGCTCGGGATAGAGAGACGCCCCAGTGTCGCCTCGCAGCCTTGCTGGTTGCCGCAGCTTGGGACCCTTGTGGTCCGAGTGCAAGCCGCTCACGATTTCGCTACCCTCTGCGCGCTCCTCGCCGCGTCCTCTCCTCATTCCGTCGATAGGATGCATTCTGCGGCTCTCCGCTAGAATCAGCTCGGTTATTTTTGCGCATACCTGTTAGAATGCACGCAACGACATCGCAAAAATCGTGACTGTCGCTTGCCCAATTTTATCGGAATTCCTCGATCCGGTACTCCGAAAGAGGCCACCAGCTCCCGCCAGCTTCCGCCAGTTTCCGCCTCCGGAACGCGGCGTTCCGGCGTTCTGTTATCATGGAAGCCATAGTCTAGACCCCGCCTCCTCAGCTTCCCGCCGTCCAATGCCTCTCTTGTGTCTCTCATACCACATACAGCTCTCCCTACGAGATTCGTCCGAGCCCACCCTGAAGGAGCTGGTTTCGCGCCAGGCCGCGTCAACTTTGAAAGTCTTACTTGGGTAGTCTTCTATCAAGCAACAACCTCTGTGATCCGCCTTCCGCGTGGCGCGATCGAGCACCAGATTACAGCATTAGGAGCGTCCATCCACGGGAGCGAAGCGCTTTCGAAGCAGGAGCTTCTTAGCGGCACGGACTTTAAGCCCCCCGACCATCGTAGAGAGCCAGGAGCGGGTGTAGCTCGCACGCACACGCATCGCAAACAGATTGCCGCAACTCTTTAGACTTTTGAGTCCGCTCAAAACACACTTACACTCACACACACTTACACACTCACACGTAACGATCAGGCTTCTCTACTCTCGAGTGGGCACCAGAGTTGTGTGTTTCGAGCCAGTCATAGATACGGAAAGCATCAGCCAGGGATCGAGCCCGAGTCTTCTGTTTGCAGTGTTCGGGGGATCTTGGAGTATTCACGCTCCTGTTGACGAGCGACGGGTCTCTATGGGTCCTGCAACTTCAATCGGAGTGCCTGCAGTCCGCGCTAAAAGGCGACTCAATAGTACGAGGCGCTCGATTTCAAAAGCGGTGATTGTTACCGTTCTGGTACTCGCTACGTTTCTCGGTCTGGCAGAGAGCGCAGGCAGCACCATAAGTAGCACCAGCAACAGCAGCAGCAGCAGCAGCAGCAGCAGCAGTGGAGTTGGAGGTGGTGCGGGAGTGGTGTGGGAGTTGAAGTTAGGGCAAGCCGTAAACCCGGGTTACAGCAAGACCAGGACCACAGAGAACAGCGACTGGCTTGCCAACCTGCAAGGTGAGTGAGACTCCGAGTGACCGAGCCCAGCTAGCTGTTTTTGGGATGAACCAGCTTCTGAGCAGGCGACAACAGAAAGTGACTCTCCAGCCCGCAAGGGGAGAATCAAGACTCCCAAGGGGTTTCGGGTCAGCTCAGCTCACTGTTGAGTCGACTCAGGTGCAACTGACTCAGCGCCACCGACTCAAGTGCGACTGACTCAGCGCCACCTAATTATGGAAAAGCTCTCAGGTGCTCCTGCCGGATGCGTTGACGAGGAGCACAGACCGGCCGGATGCGTTGAACGAGGAGCACAGACCTTCACAACGGGCTCCGCTTGCCCTTCTCCTCTCGCCCCTCCTCTCTCCTCTCGCCCCTCCTCTCTCCTCTCGCCCCTCCTCTCCTCTCGCCCCTCCTCTCTCCTCTCGCCCCTCCTCTCCTCTCGCCCCTCCTCTCTCCTCTCGCCCCTCCTCTCCTCTCGCCCCTCCTCTCTCCTCTCGACCCTCCTCTCTCCTCTCGCCCCTCCTCTCTCCTCTCGCCCCTCCTCTCTCCTCTCGCCCCTCCTCTCCTCTCGCCCCTCCTCTCTCCTCTCGCCCCTCCTCTCCTCTCGCCCCTCCTCTCTCCTCTCGACCCTCCTCTCTCCTCTCGCCCCTCCACTCTCCTCTCGCCCCTCCTCTCTCCTCTCGCCCCTCCTCTCTCCTCTCGCCCCTCCTCTCTCCTCTCGGCCTGCCTCTCTCCCCTCGGCCCGCCTCTCTCCCCTCGCCCCTCCTCTCTCCTCTCGCCCCTCTTCTCTCCTCTCGCCCCTCCTCTCTCCCCTCGCCCCTCCTCTCTCCTCTCGCCCCTCCTCTCCTCTCGCCCCTCCTCTCCTCTCGCCCCTCCTCCCTCCTCTCGACCCTCCTCTCTCCTCTGCCCCTCCTCTCTCCTCTCGCCCCTCCTCTCTCCTCTCGCCCCGCTTCTCTCCCCTCGCCCCTCCTCTCTCCTCTCGCCCCTCCTCTCCTCTCGCCCCTCCTCTCTCCTCTCGCCCCTCCTCTCTCCTCTCGACCCTCCTCTCTCCTCTCGCCCCTCCTCTCTCGTCTCGCCTCTCCTCTCTCCGTTCGCCCCACCTCTCTCCACTCGCCCCTTCCCTCTTATCTCTCCTCGTATTCCCCAAGCTTTGCTGCCGTTCTCCCTTCGCCCTAATCGTCTTCTTCTCTCCTATGTCCTGCCTCCCTCTTTTCTGCCTCCCTCCTCGCCTCTCCTCTCTCCTCTTGCCCCTGCCCTTTTTCGCCGCTTCTTTTTCCCCTACCTTTTCTTTTCCTTTTTTCCCCTACCTTTTCTTTTACTTTTTCCCCTACCTTTTCTGCTACTTTTTCCCTACCTTTTCTTCTACTTTTTCCCCTACCTTTTCTTTTACCTTTTCCCCTACCTTTTCTTCTACTTTTTCCCCTACCTTTTCTTTTACTTTTTCCCCTACCTTTTCTGTTACTTTCCCCCTACCTTTTCTTCTACTTTTTCCCCTATCTTTTCTTTTACCTTTTCCCCTACCTTTTCTTTTACCTTTTCCCCTACCTTTTCCCCTACCTTGTCCCATATTGTTTCTCACTGCTCTCGTTCCCCCCCTCACCACCCCCCCACCCCCCCTCTTTCTCCCACTCTTCCCCAACAACCCCGCCACCTGACAGCCAGAGTGTTTGTCAACTGTTTGTGGAGGCCCTAACGCGGCAACACTCTGCTCCGTCCCTGAGAGGCGCCTCATCCCCTCTCCCCTCTTTCCCCGCCTTCCATCACTCCCCCGCAGCACCCCACCATTTGGCCGCCAGAGTGTTCATCAATTGCGGCGGTTGCAATGCGAGAACGCTCTGGCTTGCCGTTTGTGCCGCCTCACATACCCACTTCTCCCCCCCCCCGCGCCCACACACCCCACCCACCCCACCCAACCCCCCTCCTCCCACTTCTTCCTCCCTCCCCTCCTGTCCCATTGCAGCCGGAGTGGTCATCAACTGTGGCAGTCCCAGCGGGAAAACAACGCTGTGGTTCGCGTTTCTAGGCTCCTCACCCCACCCTCCCCCCCCCCCTTTCTCCCCTCCTGCCCCATTGCAGCCGGAATGGTCATCAACTGTGGCAGTCCCAACGTGACGACGCTCTGATTGGCAGCTTGACGCTCCTCCTCAGACACCTCCTCGTTCCCCCCCTCCCCCCCCCCCCCCTCTTCTCCCCTCGTCTCACATTGCAGGCGGGGTGTTCATCAACTGCGGTGGGCCCAATGTGACGACGCTGTGGTTCGCGGACAACACGACCGTCACCTGGGCGTCTGATGCGACTCTCATGCCTCTGGGCTCGCCCTTCTCCATTGGCCCGCCGCCACCACGCAGCAACCGCAGCAGCAACAGCACATCAGCAGCACCCGTTAACGGCAGTGCAGCAGCAGCAGCCAACGCCACAGCAGCGGCCAACGCCACAGCAGCAGCCAACAGCACAGCAGCATCCAACGCCACTGCAGCATCAACCGACACCATTGCAGCGTCCTCCTCTGCCACTGCTACTGCAGCAGCAGCCATCTCCTCCGCAGCAGATAATACCACAACCACCGGTGGCGGCACTCCAAACCTCGGCAACCCAAATCAGAGCGTCAACATCTTGAGGCAAACCAACTCCACCTCATCCAACACAACCTCATCCAACTCCACCTCATCCAACGCATTCCCATTTCCTCTCCCCACACCCAAAGTCCCCCTCACGGAAACCCCCTCCGTTCCACCCACACCGGCGTCCCAAGAGGCCAAGACTCTCCTCACCTTCGCCGACCCCTCTCTCGCGCTCATGGCGCCCATGTTCGAATCCGCCCGCACCTTCAACGCCAGGGACCGCCCCACCTTCTGGTACTCGGTCCCGGTGTCGCGCCCCGCGTACTACTTTGTGCGCCTGTACTTTGCTGAGGTTGTGCACCGCGTGCCGGGCGCAAGGAGGTTCAACGTGAGTGTGGAGGGGGTGGAGGTTCTGCCGGCGTATGTCATCGGCCAGCAGTTCCCCACTGTGAATCGCACCCAGGCATCCGCTGCTGGTGGTGCTGCTGGTGGGAAAGGCAGTGGGAATTTGTCAAAAGCTGCTGGTGGCGTGGGGAATGGCAATCAGAGTAGTGGTGCTGGCAGTGGTGGTGGTGCTGGCAGTGGTGGTGCTAGCACTGCGAGCAGCGCTACCATTCTTGTGTCCACGGTCACCAACAGTGATCTGGTCAGCACAGGCAGCAGCACTGCTACCAACACCAACAGCAGCAACACTAGCACCAACAGCAGCAGCAACACAACCAGCAGCAGTAGCGAAAGGGAGGGCGACGTGTTGAGGGGCCATGTGGTGGAGGTGTATGTGCCGGTGACGGACGGCAGTGTGGACGTGTTCTTCACCTCGGGGGACATCGGTGACCCCATCATCTCTGGCATCTCCGTGAGTCTTCTCTTCACATCAGGATGTATGGTGGGTGAGGTGAGGTGAGGGGCCATATGGGGGAGGTGTATGTGCCATTGACAGGTGGCACTGGGGAGTGGGTGTGTTCTTCACCTGGGGGGACATCGGCGACCCCATCATCTCCGGCATCTCCGTGAGTCTGCGCCTGAGCCTTCTGGTTGTGGTGCGCAACCCAGAAGCGTCCTCTTCACGAGGCTCTGGGGGCATCGGTAAGAGGACTCACTACAACCATCATGTTTTTCCTCCCAGCAATCTCACTCCCCTTACTACAACCACAGCGCCTCTCCCCTCTCTGTGAGCCTCTCACCCCCCGCCGCCAACCCCTCTCCTCCCACCCCTTCGCTTCCCTCCCTCAGGTGCTTGAGTGCCCACCTGGAATGTACAACCTTTCAGCACCGGACGACACCATTGTGCTTGGTGAGAGCACCATGCACAGCAAAGCTGGCCAAAGCCGGTCACCATCGTGCTGCGCCCATTCTCTGCTGCGCCCATTCTCTGCTGCGCCCATTCTCTGCTGCGCGCATTCTCTGCTGCGCCCATTCTCTGCTGCGCGCATTCTCTGCTGCGCGCATTCTCTGCTGCGCCCATTCACTGCTGCGCCCATTCTCTGCTGCGCCCATTCTCTGCTGCGCCCATTCTCTTCTGCGCCCATTCTCTTCTGCGCCCATTCTCTTCTGCACCCATTCTCTGCTGCGCCCATTCTCTGCTGCGCCCATTCTCTGCTGCGCCCATTCTCTGCTGCGCCCATTCTCTTCTGCGCCCATTCTCTGCTGCGCCCATTCTCTGCTGCGCCAATTCACTGCTGCGCCCATTCACTGCTGCGCCCATTCTCTGCTGCGCCCATTCTCTGCTGCGCCCATTCTCTGCTGCGCCCATTCTCTGCTGCGCCCATTCTCTGCTGCGCCCATTCTCTTCTGCGCCCATGATGCTTCATGCAACGCTCACGAGAAAGCCCTTCACCATTCACTGTGCCGGCAAGCAAGCAGGCAAGCAATTCCACACCACATCCGTCCCCTCCCCTGTCCGTTCCTCCCTCTTCACACCCATCCCTCCTTCATTCTACTTTCCTTCTTTCCGCTATCCATCCATCCTCTCTCCCTCTCTCGCAAGCACCACAGCTGGACTGCTGTCCAACTGATCCCGTAGTCCCCAGCTTTCTCCCTCCAGCCCCAGCTTTCTCCCTCCAGCCCCAGCTTTCTCCCTCCAGCCCCAGCTTTCTCCCTCCAGCCCCAGCTTTCTCCCTCCAGCCCCAGCTTCTCCCTCAAGCCCCAGCTTTCTCCCTCCTTCATCCTCCCCTGCACATCGCCGCCCAGCTTCTCTCTACCTACCGCTCTTCATACCGCCTTGCACCCCTGCTCGTGGTCGCCCATTCCTCCCAGCGCTTGTGCCTGCCTGACACTCAAAGTACCCCTCCTCCCTTTCCTTCCACCCCACCCCACCCCACGTGCTGCCCCCCCATGATGCCCAGCGTCCCTCTACCGCGTCGGGGCGGGCCTGCACCCCAACGAGTTCTTCCTGGACGCCATCGGCCGCTCCTGGCTGCCTGACACGCCGTACCTTGCCGCCCCTCCGCCGACCAACACTATGGTTGTGGACAGTGCTATGGAGGTGAGGCCTCCACCCCCCTCCCACCACCCTCCCACCCCCCTCCCACCACCCTCCCACCCTCCTCTGAACCCCCTCCCAAACCGAGCGCTTCTACTGATAGCTCATCTTACCCCTCCTGTATCTCCCGTTCTCTCCCTCTCCCCAGCCCCACCGCTTCTGGAATGTTCTGGAGGGTAATGGGGTGTTTTAGACCCATAACACTTTTGGGCCCATAACACCCGTTTTGGGCCCATAACACCCGTTTTGGGCCCATAACACCCTTTTTGGGCCCATAACACCCCTTTTGGGCCCATAACACCTCTTTTCCCTCGCTCCTTGACATCCCACCCCTATCGACTTCACTGTGACTTAGTCTTTCTTTCCTTGAGCCGCAATCTGCCTTCTCCTTTCTCCAGTATTTCTCTCTGTCCCACCCCACGAGCTCTACCGGTCCTTGGCCTCTGTAGAAGTGGCCGATGACACGCTTGAGATGTCGCATAACACCATTCTTCTATCTCCCTCTCACCCTATCACCCTTTCGCCCGCCCGCCCTCCCACCCTCCACCCCGCCAGCTCTACCGGTCGTTGCTCTCTGTGGAGGTGACTGATAACCCCAACATGCCTCCTGATGCGATCTTCACTGTGAGTGCATCTTCCATGCCCTCCTGTCTGCCTGCAGTGCGTGATGGTGAGCGGCAATGCGTGATGGTGAGCGGCAATGCGTGATGGTGAGCGGCAATGCGTGATGGTGAGCGGCAATGCGTAATGTTGAGCGGCAATGCGTGATGTTGAGCGGCAATGCGTGATGTTGAGCGGCAATGCGTGATGGTGAGCGGCAATGCATGATGGTGAGCGGCAATGCGTGATGGTGAGCGGCAATGCGTGATGTTGAGCGGCAATGCGTGATGTTGAGCGGCAATGCGTGATGTTGAGCGGCAATGCGTGATGTTGAGCGGCAATGCGTGATGGTGAGCGGCAATGCGTGATGGTGAGCGGCAATGCGTGATGGTGAGCGGCAATGCGTGATGGTGAGCTTGTAACTTAATTGGCCCAACAGGCCACATGAGGACCTTGGCAGAGACAGCCCTCTGGCAGAGACAGTCCTCTGGCAGAGACAGCCCTCTGGCAGAGACAGTCCTCTGGCAGAGACAGCCCTCTGGCAGAGGCGAGACAAGTAAGGGTTTGAGTCAGAGGCGAGAAAAACGGATAAGTGTGCTGCGGCGTAAGGGTTGGATCCATTGCATCCCCTGCATTGCACCTGACATTGTTGCAGGTGTGGCGGACCACAGTGATCAAGCACGAGACGGACCCGTCGGGCAATTGGACTATCAACCTGGAGCACAACGAGTTCTGAGGCACCGCAAAACTTGTGTTCCGCGCCTATTCTCTCATGCCCCTTGCAAACCACCTGGCATTGCTGCTCCTGACATTGATGCAGGCGTGGCGGACCACGGTGAACGGGCACGAGACGGAGTGGTCCGGCAACTTCACAGTGCACAGTCTCAAGTACATCTTTCCAGTGCCGCCCGCCACGCCCCTTGCCATCGACCTCGGCTTCCAGGATGGGCTCTTCGACTTTGAGGTGCGGTGGAGGGAGACTTTGAGGTACACTGGAGGGAGAGGAGTCTAGGTGCTTGAGGCTTGCTTATGGCTTGGTTGGAATGAATGCAACATGGCATACACAGGCAACGTGGCATATGCATACAACATGGCATAGACATGCAACGTGACATATGCATACAACATGGCATAGACATGCAACGTGACATATGCATACAACACGGCATAGACATGCAACGTGACATATGCATACAACATGGCATAGACATGCAACGTGACATATGCATACAACATGGCATAGACATGCAACGTGACATATGCATACAACATGGCATAGACATGCAACGTGACATATGCATACAACATGGCATAGACATGCAACGTGAGATATGCATACAACGTGGCATAGACATGCAACGTGACATATGCATACAACATGGCATAGACATGCAACGTGACATATGCATACAACATGGCATAGACATGCAACGTGACATGTGCATACAACACGGCATAGACATGCAACGTGACATATGCATACAACATGGCATAGACATGCAACGTGAGATATGCATACAACGTGGCATAGACATGCAACGTGACATATGCATACAACATGGCATAGACATGCAACGTGACATGTGCATACAACACGGCATAGACATGCAACGTGGCATGCATGCAGCATGGGATACATGCAGCATGTGCGATGCAGAATGTTGATTGCGGCATGCCACATGATACGATGTGCCACCATTCAACACAGCATCCACCTGCCATGGCCCTCCCTGCCATGGCCCTCCCTGCCACAGCACATCAGCATGAATGCCTTGTGTTGACTGCTCAAAGAAGATTCTGAGCTCTTTGGTGTGTGTTGTGTTTTCACGTGTTGTGATGTGTGCATGGCATGACACCACTTGGTATCGCATGGCATGGCATGGCATGGCATGGCATGGCGTGGCATGGCATGGTGTGGCATGGCACCACTTGGCATGGCGTGTCATGACATGGCATGGCATGGCATCAGGGAGGGCGACACCTGCAAGTGTTTCTGGACGGGCGACTGGTTGTGAAGTCGTTTGATGCCTACGCTGCTGATACCACTTATGTGGTCAAACCGATCTACGGTGAGAGATGGTCTATCCGGCCACAGAGATCTATGGTGAGAGATGGACTATTCGGCCACAGAGATCTACGGTGAGGGATGGTCTATTCGGCCACAGAGTTCTACGGTGAGAGATGGTCTATTCGGCCACAGAGATCTACGGTGAGAGATGGTCTATTCGGCCACAGAGATCTACAGTGAGAGATGGTCGATCTGGCCAACGTCTACTTGGTAAGTGGATGTATGCTTTAGGGCTTCGGATGTATGGTACAGAAATATCGAGGATATGTCTGGTGTATGGTGTGAGATGAATCCTGGTGAATTATGGTCCACGACACCTGTCCGTGCTTTCTGCTCTCACCTCCCACTCTGCTGTCAGCAGCAACACCAATGGCTTGGTGCACTCTGAAGATCGGTATCTTGAGCCACACTGGCTTCACATCAAAGCGGCCCGCCCCCCTATCGTCTGCCGCGCGCTGACTCCCTCCCCATCGCTTGCCTGTCCTTTCTACTCCCACCGCAGTCACCAGCAACACCTCTGGCTTCCTCACTCTGGAAATCGGGCTTGCCAACTACACTGGCTTCTCATGGTATGTATGCTGTCGGCCTCTCACCGCCCTCACATGGTGTCGGCCTCTCACTGCCCTCACATGGTGTGCTGCCTGCCTCTCACTGCCCTCACATGGTGTGCTGCCTGCCTCTCACTGCCCTCACATGGTGTGCTGCCTGCCTCTCACTGCCCTCACATGGTGTGCTGCCTGCTTCTCACTGCCCTCGCATGGTGTGCTGCCGGCCTCTTTCCCCTCTGCCATCTCCTTGAGAAGTCTCCATGCCATGCTGCCTTGCCCTGCGCCCACTGCCTACCTCGTTCTTCTCCCCCCTCCTATTCCCCCGCCCCCAACCCCCCCGCCCCCCCGTCTTTACAGGGACGCCTTTGTGAATGCGGTGGGGATGGTTCAGGTGCTGCAGTGGTAGAAGGGCAGGGATGCTTTTGACTCAATTCGAACCTCCTCTTTCTTCTCCTCCTCCTCTCTATCTCCCCCCCTGCTCCCTCCCCCTACCCTCTTTAGGGACGCCTGTTTGAAGGGGGGGGAGGCGCTTCAGGTGCTGCAGTGCCTGGCAGGAAGGCACGGATGCTCTCGCCTCAACTGAAACCTCTTCTTTCTATTTTTGAGGCGGCTCAAAAAAGGGATGCTCTCGACTCAACTGAAACCTCTTCTTTCTCCTCCTCCCGTCTATCCTCCCCTCCCCCTTCTCCCTCCCCCCTTCCCCCCACCCGCTACAGGGACATCTCTGTGACTGCAGTGGGGGTGTTTCCCGTGCTGCCATGGCAGGAGGGCAGGTCAGGGAGGCTTTTGAGTAAACTCGAACCTCCTCGTTCTCCTCCTCTCTATCTCTCCCCCGTTCCCTCCCCCTACCCTCCACAGGGACGCGTTTGTGAATGCGGTGGAGGTGTTTCACGTATTGCCGTGGCAGGAGGGGCGGGAGGCGGCGTTCAAGGCCAAGCCGCAGGCACCAGAGCAGCAGGCGGCGGAGCCCACAGTGGTGGTGCAGTCGGTGTGGCGGGTGAGGGGGTCATGGGTGACAGGATCAGGATCAGGATCATGCTACACGAGTCTGGACTGCTGTGTCTTGCCTTCAACCCAAGCTTTCCGAAGCTAGAGCAGCGTGCAAGTATGATCTGATTTTCCTACCGATGAAAACCCTCCCCTCCCCTCCCCTCCCCTTCCATTCCATTCACCCTTCTTTTCCTTCTCCTACCCTTCTTGCCTCCCCCTATCCGCCCCATCTCTTCGTCACACTCTCTTCCTCCCCCTCCCTCTCCTGTGCCAACAGCTCTGAGCTCTGGGCTGCTGGCGCTGGCACTGGCACTGGCACTGGCCCTGGCGCTGGCGGTCGTGTGAGCCACTGAGCAGCTCTTGTTTTCCCTCTCGGCCCCCTCTTTTCCCAGGGTGTGCTGCTGGGCGTCGTGACAGCAGCTGCCGTGCTGGCTGTAGGACTTGCGGTGCTGCTAGGTGTGCGTTGGGTCATTGCACGCAGAGCGGCAGCAGCAGCAGCAGCAGCCGAGGAGCAGGAGAAGCTCCTGGGCGCCCGACCCAACAGCCGCTTCCGCCGCCGAGCCAACGCCACAGGCTCGGATTCATACCTGGGCAGCAGCTTCAGCAACAGCAGGGGAGGCAGTGGGAGCGGCGGCGCGGGGAGCATGGGGGTGTCAGCGTTTGGGGCGCACTGCTTCACCTGGGAGGAGATGCGCGAGGCCACTAGCGACTTTGCGCCGGCGAATGTCATTGGGAAAGGAGGGTTCGGACAGGTGAGTCTTGTTACGGGCGAGTCGTGTCGCGGGTGAGTGCTACGATTCTAGCCCCCCTGGTGGTGTGGAGAGCATGGCGGTATCGGCTTTTGGGGCGCACTGCTTTACCTGGGAGGAGATGTGGGAGGCCAATAGCGACTTTGCGCCGGCGAATGGGGAAGGAGGGTTCGGACAGGTGAGTCTTGTTGCAGGCGAGTTTCCTCGTAGGGGAGGCTAAGATTCTAGCCCCTCTGGCGGCGCCGGGAGCGTGGCAGTTTCTGCGTTTGGGGCGCACTGCTTCAGCTGGGAGGATTTGAGGGGGGTCACAAATGGCTTAGCGCCCGCTAACGTGATCGGGAAAGGAGGGTTCGGACAGGTGAGCGCCACGCTCCTGCCTTACGCTTCCCCTTGCCTCCTTCTGCTCTCTCCTTCACGTGGCAGGAAATAAGGCAGGCCTCTAGCGACTTCGCGCCTGCCAACGTGATTCGGAAGTAGTTTGTGACCGAGCTGGAGCCGCTTTCTCTAATATCCCCCTTGATTATTTCCTCCCTCTCCCCCTCTCCTCCCTTCCAGGTGTTCCGCGGCCAGCTGGAGAGCGGGCACATGGTGGCCATCAAGCGCCTGGACGTGGGGTCGGACCAGGGCGAGAAGGAGTTTGTGACGGAGGTGGAGCTGCTGACGCGCCTGCACCACCGCCACCTCGTGTCGCTCATCGGCTTCTGCGAGGAGGACGACCAGCGCCTCATGCTCGTCTACGAATACGTGCCCAATGGCACGCTCAGAGGGGCGCTGCATGGTGAGTCACCTGCCTGTTGAGCGGAAATTTAAGGGGATCCCTGCAGGGTGGCATGTGAGAGGGCGACCAGCGCCTGATGCTCATCTACAAATGCATGCCCAATGGCACGCTCAGAGGGGCGCGGCATGGTACGTTGATCCCTGCACCTGGTGTCCCTGATAGGCTTTTGAGAGGACGACGACCAGCGCCTCAGCGTGCCCAACAGCACGCTCAGGGGGCATTGTACGGTGAGGCTCTGAGAAGAGAGGCTGGTAGGGCTCAGGGCTGGTCTATGCTTGGGAGGACGACCATGAGTATGAATATGAATATGAATATGAATACGCCTGCTGCTCGTCTATGAATATGCGTGATGCTTGTCTATGAATACACGCACGCTCAGGGGGGCACTGCACGGTACGTTGATGCCTGCACCTGGTGTCCCTGATAGGGTTTGATGCGCCCAATGGGACTCTCAGAGGGGCACTGCATGGTGAGTTGACGCACCTGCACCACCACTGCCAGCACCTCGTTTGGCTCATCGGGCGTGATGGCAGGGAGGATGACCACTGCCTCGTGCTCCTCGTGCCCCATGGGACGGTGAGGGGAGCACTGCATGGTGAGATGCTGGCATGCATCAACATGGCATGCATCAATATGGCATGCATCAACATGGCATGCATCAACATGGCATGCATCAACATGGCATGCATCAACATGGCATGCATCAACATGGCATGCATCAACATGGCATGCATCAACATGGCATGCATCAACATGGCATGCAAGAAGCAGCGATTGCATTTCCAGGTTAGGTGAGGTGTCAGATGCTGAGCGTTGGTGCTGCATCTCGAGGGGGGACGCATGCTTCCAAGCACAAAACAGCTGCAAGGGTTTGGGGTTTCGGGTTGAGCGGAGGGCTGACCGTGCCAGTGATTGCGAGTGCTCCTCCTCTTTCCACTCTGCAATGCGCTGTCCATGCAGATTCAGACAAGGCACGGGCAATGACCTGGAACCTTCGCCTCAAGGTGGCCCTGGGAGCAGCCAGGGGAATCGAGTACCTGCACCGAGGCGCGCTGCCACCTGTCATCCACCGGTTCGTCCCTGACCTTTTTCCCTGCTACGTGTCATCCAGTGGTTCGTCCCTGGCCTCTTGCCTGCCACCTGTCGTTGTCTGACTGGTTTTTTTCTCTCTCTCTCTCGCCTGCCATTTATTTGCTGTCTAATGGTCCATTGTGCCTGTTCAAATGGGCAAGGAGTCACCTCGTCTCCGCCCCTCTCTCCTGCTCCTCCCATGCCCGCAAGTTTCCATGCTCTTGGTATTGACCCCCCTCCCTCTCTCACTCCCCCCCACCCCCACCCCCCCACCCCCAGCGACATCAAGACGACCAACATCCTGCTGGACTACCAGATGAACGCCAAGGTGGCGGACTTTGGGTTGTCGCGCCTGGCGCAGCAGGCGGTGAGCGGCACGCACCTGGACCTCATCAGCACCAACGTCAAGGGCACCATGGGTCAGCCGCTAAACCCCAAACCTCTATCTCCAAACCCCGAACCCTGGAACCTATGCCGTGAACGGTAAGCCCTAGGCCCTAACCCCCCCTGGCACAGCAGGCAGTGAGCGGCACCCACCTCGACCTCGACAGTGCCAATGTCACGGGCAGCGTGGGTGATTCGCTAAACGTTCAACTGAAAAGTCTAGACCTTGAAGACCTAGACACTCTGGGCACCACTGTGGCCGTCTCTTGCAATCACCTGCCCCCAGGCTACCTGGACCCCAGGCTACCTGGACCCCAGGCTACCTGGACCCCAGGCCACCTGGACCCCAGGCTACCTGGACCCCAGGCTACCTGGACCCCAGGCTATCTGGACCCCAGGCTACCTGGACCCCAGGCTACCTGGACCCCCGGCTACCTGGACCCCAGGCTACCTGGACCCCAGGCTACCTGGACCCCCGGCTACCTGGACCCCCGGCTACCTGGACCCCAGGCTACCTGGACCCCAGGCTACCTGGACCCCAGGCTATCTGGACCCCAGGCTACCTGGACCCCAGGCTACCTGGACCCCAGGCTACCTGGACCCCAGGATACCTGGACCCCAGGCTACCTGGACCCCAGGCTACCTGGACCCCAGGCTACCTGGACCCCAACCACATCACACTGCCTGCCATGCTTGATGCCTCGCTCTCCCCTTCTCACCCCCCTCCAGACGACCCCCCTCCAGACGACCTGGACCGCAACTGCGACACGAAGCAGCAGCACCAACTGAAAGAAACCCCACTTTCGCTCCCTCCCTTTCATATCCTCTTTCCAACCATCCACCCATTCCCCAACCTCCCCATCCCCCCCCCTTTTATGCCAGGCTAGTACACGTCCTGGACCAGAACTAGTGCACGAAGCAGCAGCTGAAGGAGCGGGAGCCCTCCCTTTTCCTCCCTCCCTTCATTTCCCGTTTTCACAACCAAACCCCCCTACAATCCCCCCCCCTTTTCCCTTCACAACAGGCTACCTGGACATGAAATACTACACGAAGCAGCAGCTGACAGAGAAGAAACCCTCCCTTGCCCCCTCCCTTTCGTTTCCCCATCTCCAAACCCCCCCCCCCCCTCCTCGCTTCTTTAACACCAGGCTACCTGGACCCGAACTACTACACGAAGCAGCAGCTGACGGAGAAGAGCGACGTGTACAGCTTCGGGGTCATCCTGCTGGAGCTCGTCACGGGCAAGGTGCCCATCTGGATGGAGCCCCGCCCGCCCAAACCCACCCAGGGGGTTGATGGTGCTGCCGATGCTCCTGCTGCTGCTGCTGCTGCTGCTGGTGCTGATGGTGGCGATGGTGCTGCTGGTGCTGATGGTGCTGGGGCCTCTGACAGTGCTGCTGCTTCTGGTGGCGGTGGTGGTGGTGGGGGGGGGGGGTCGGACAGCAGGCAGCAGCATGACATGGACAGCGACGATGATGAGGATGATGATGGGGACAGGCTCATGAACCTCGTCGAATGGGTGAGTGCGGGCCGGGGGGAAGGGTGAGCGCCGAGGGAGTGGGTGAGGTGTACCTTTCTTCCTCTCAGCCTGTGTTTTGGCTCCTCAACCCTCACCCACCTCTCCTCTCCCCTCCCGATCCCTTCTTCCCCCCTTCTTTTTTGCCTGTTCCCCTCACCATTTTAAAATCTGGTTTCGGGGGACCTTCAGCTATTTCCCTCTCTCCCCCCACACCATGCCCACTCCCATGCGTCACCGTGCTTAGAAACCGGGCGTGTGGGCGTGGTGGCAAGCAGCAAGGCCCTTTTTTCACTCATCCACAAACTACCTTCACCATTCTCCACCTTCCCCTCCCCCCCCCTCCACCTCCCCCCCTCCTCCCCCCCGACCAGGCAACCCCGCGCATCGAGGCAGGGCGTGTGGACGTGGTGGCAGCGAGGGAGCTGCTGGCGTCTTCAGAGGCGGTGCTGCAGTCCATGCAGGCCGTGGGCGAGCTGGCTCTGGCTTGCCTCGAGATGCAGGTGAGCGCAGGGGATGTACGTGAGTGAGTGAGGTCCCCCAGATCTCCACTTTTTGGAGGAAGAGTTGCCACGAGGAGTCTTTGAAGTTATCCTGGCCTTGAAGCTCTTGGTGAAAGCCGCTACTTGAACAGAATCAGAGCTCTTCAGTAGAGCTTACTGAAGACCCAAACAGGAGTGCAGGCAAACTCCTCTCTTGGCCTCCACTCTTGCCTGTCAGGGGCTCGTAGTTGCCCCTCCATGTCGCACGCCCTGTTCTAAGGCTCGTCAAAACCTCACCTTTCTCCCCCGCCTTCCCCCCTTCCTCACCCACCCCCTTCCCCCTTCCCCCCCTCCTCCCTCCCCCCTCCTCCTTCCCCCTATCGCCCTTCCCCCTCCCCTCTCCCTTTCCCCTCCTCTCCTTCCCCCCCCCCTTTGCCAGGCGCGCAACCGCCCCACCATGTCTCAAGTCGTGCGCCAGCTGGAAGAAATCCAGCTGGCACTCGCAGAAGAGGACGAGGACGCGCTACCCATCTCCACCGCCCATTCCACGGCATCCGCCACGTCAGCAGCAGCAGCAGCCGCCAACCTGGGGACCTCCTCACTCATCTCCGGGGTGCCCCCGCCCCTCCCGTTGCCCACGGTGGACGAGGACGCCTCGGCTGACTTCTCCCACCCCAGCCCCGCCAGCCACAGCCACAGCAACGTGGATGTGTCGGCTTCCAACCGCGCCTCGCCGCGCATCTCCCCCCGCAGTCCCAACACCGGAGAGGGTGGTGCTGGGGGCTTCACCTCCCCCCGTGGGTCTCACAAGGCAGAAGGGGTTGGTGCTGGTGCCTCGCCTCACTCCCCAGCCCCTCTGAACCGAACCTCCTCGTGCCCCTCCCCCTCGCACACTCAGTCCCACACCCACTCCCCCAAAAACGCCACCCTCTCTCCCTCCAAGGCTGCTGCCTGGACCAATCAGTGCTGGCCACGTGGCACACCAGGGAACAGGCCGAGCAGCAGCAGCAGCAACAGCAGGAGGGCCAACAGCAGCGGCAGCAGCAGCACTGGCAGTGGCAGCGGCAGAGGGAGTGGCGTGGAGAAGAGTGGTAGGGAGTATGATGTGGAGGCGCAGGAGGAGCTGGTGCACATCCAGAGCACGCCAGAGCCAGATTCGGACCACGTGCCTCTCAAATCCTCCTTCACACACCTCTCCTTCAGCGGGTCCTTGGTGTAACTTCCCCTGTAGCCTCTCCTTATCGCTTCCCTTCCCTCGGCCCGTGCCTTAGCCTTTGGCCTTCACAGCAGTGACTTTATGGGGCTGCCTGGTTGGTTGCCTGTCGTTGCGCCCCCCGACCCGACCCAAACAATCATCTCCTTGCCACTTGATAAGGCTCTCTCCTGACCTGATTCCTGTTTCTGTGGTGTCACCGTTGGACTCTAGGTAGTTTCGATGCATAAAAAAATGCAGACAATGAGGTCCAAGAATGTTAATGTATTTATTTTACGGTCCGTGGTTTCTTGCTTATTGCTTGTTCGCTCCTGTAGTGATTGAAGTTTCTTCCCTCCACTAGTAGCAGGGGTGCACAAGTAAAAAGTGGTCGAGAAACACCAGTTCTGGTCTGGATGCCACCATGAATGAATGAATGCATACAAGTGAGAACAAGGGAGATATATGCGTTCTGGTTGTACCCTCTAAGTGTCAAACATGTGTATTTGTCATGTTTGTATAGACTGTATAGAGTCACCTCTTAAAGGATACAAAACTTAGATATATTTGTGTGTACTCTCACTTTACTATCATACAATTATTCTGATATGGTATCACGCGTAGGTAGGATCCCCCCCCCCACCTACCGCTTCCACTCATGCCCCCTAGCGCCCCTCCTGGGCCCCGTCGCGCTCCTCCCAGGCCCCGTCGCGCTCCTCCCAGGCCCCCTAGCGCCCCTCCTGGGCCCCATCGCGCTCCTCCCAGGCCCCGTAGCGCCCCTCCTGGGCTTCGTAGCGCCCCTGCCAGGCCCCGTCGCGCCCCTCCTGGGCTTCGTAGCGCCCCTGCCAGGCCCCGTCGCGCCCCTCCCAGGCCCCGTCGCGCTCCTCCCAGGCCCACTAGCGCCCCTCCTGGGCCCCGTCGCGCTCCTCCCAGGTCCCGTAGCGCCCCGTCGCGCCCCTCCTGGGCCCCGTAGCGCCCCTCCTGGGCCTCGTCGCGCCCCTCCTGGGCTTCGTAGCGCCCCTCATGGGCCCTGTACCGCCCTCCCAGGCCCCGTCGCGCCCCTCCCAGTCCCTCTAGCGCCCCTCCTGGGCCCCGTCGCGCTCCTCCCAGGCCCCGTAGCGCCCCGTCGCGCCCCTCCTGGGCCCCGTAGCGCCCCTCCTGGGCCTCGTCGCGCCCCTCCTGGGCTTCGTAGCGCCCCTCCTGGGCCCTGTAACGCCCTCCCAGGCCCCGTCGCGCCCCTCCCAGGCCCCGTCGCGCTCCTCCCAGGCCCCCTAGCGCCCCTCCTGGGCCCCGTCGCGCTCCTCCCAGGCCTCGTAGCGCCCCTCCTGGGCTCTTTCGCGCCCCTCCTGGGCTCCGTAGCGCCCCTCCTGGGCCCCGTCGCGCCCCTCCTGGGCCCCGTAGCGCCCCTCCTGGGCCCCGTCGCGCCCTCCTTGGGCCCTGTAGCGCCCCTCCTGGGCCCCGTCGCGCCCCTCCCAGGCCCCGTCGCGCCCCTCCCAGGCCCCGTAGCGCCCCTCCTGGGCCTCGTCGCGCCCCTCCTGGGCTTCGTAGTGCCTCTCCTGGGCCCCCCGTCGTGCCCCTCCTGGGCCCCGTAGCGACCCTCCTCGGCCGCGTCGTACCCGTCGCCGCCGCCCGGCCCCGTCGTGCCCGCCCGGCGCCGTCGCGCCCGCCCGACCCCGTCGCCGCCGCCCGGCCCCGTCGCGCCCGCCCGGCGCCGTCGCCGCCGCCCGGCCCCGTCGCGCCCGCCCGGCGCCGTCGCCGCCGCCCGGCCCCGTCGCGCCCGCCCGGCGCCGTCGCACCCTGCCCGGCCCGTCGCGCTCGCCCGGCCCCGTCGCAGCCGCCCGGCCCCGTCGCACCCGCCCGGCCCCGTCGCACCCTGCCCGGCCCCGTCACAGCCGCCCGGCCCCGTCGCACCAGCCCGGCCGCCGTCCCGCTCGCCCGGCCCCGTCGCACCGGCCCGGCCCTGCCGCACTCGCCCGGCCCCGTCGCCCCAGCCCGGCCCCGTCGCGCCCGCTCGGCCCCGTCGCCCCGTCCCGGCCCTGTCGCATCAGCCCGGCCCCGTCGCGCCCGCCCGGCCCCGTCGGGCCAGCCCCGGCCCCGTCCTCCTCACTGGTACGGTCCCCCCCCCCCCCCCCCCCCCCCCCCCCACCCCGCCCTGCTCCGTGCCGCCCTGCACCGCACTGCACCGCACTGTACCGCACTGCACCACACTGCACCGCACTGTATCGCACTGCACCGCACCCCACCTAGCTGCACCGCCCTGCACAGCACTGGACTGTTCCTGATGGCGGCGGAGCTTCGCTTCGACGCTGAAGGTCAGCCCCTAGAGTTCGAGGCGTGGCTTGCCGACCTCCGCCGCCAACTCACTGGCCAGCGGCAGGATGGTGAACCGCTTTCCGCACACCTTGACGGTACGCTCCCCTGCCCAGACCCTCCTGCTATTCTGCCCGCTGACCCCACACCCATTGAGCGTGAGTCTACTGCTGCCACTGCCCGTGCGCGCTCTGTCTGGCTTTCTCGCGATGCTGTCGCCCAGCTTGCCATTAGCAACGCCCTCCCCCCGTCCGAGCGTCCTCGCTTTAGGTCCCTCACTACTGCTCAGGCATACTTAGATGCTGTCATCAAGCGCTATTCCACCCCTCCGGCTGCCTCGGTGGGTCGCCTGATCCTCCCGCTGCTCTTTCCTGACCTTGCTTCGTTCCCCACTGTCTCTGACCTCGCTGCCCACCTGCGCTCGATAGAGGAGACCTGGCGCGCCGCATGCACTGACGCACAGCTTAGAGCCCACCAGCCGCCCATTACCTCTACCCTCTACCTGCTTGCCACCCGCCTCCCTGACCGCCTTGCTGTCGCCCGCGACCGCTTCCTTAGTGTTCACCCCGCACACCTCACCCTCACTGACTTTGTCGACACCCTGACTGTGATAGAGACCCGTCACCGCTCCATCGCCCAGGCGAGCGGTGTCGTGCCGGTCCCTATCTTTCAGGGTTGTGCCCCCGCTCAGTGTACCTTCTCCGACGGCTCTGCCGCAGTGGCTGAGACTGCTGCTGCAGCGCAGGCCCGTTCTGGGAAGGGCCGCCGCCCCAAGGCTGGGCGCGGCGGAGGGGGCGGCGGGGGTGCGGGCGGGGGTAGTGGTGGGGTCGGGTCGCCTGGTGCTGGAGCGGACGAGGGGACCCTGCCCAGTCCAGCTGAGTCGCCGCCCCTACAGTTGCAGCAGCCGCAGCAGCCGCCGCAGTCGCAGCCTTCGCAGCAGCCGCAGCAGCCGTCGCAGACGCGGCAGACGAGTGTTCTCCCGCCAGGGTGGCCCGGCGCTGGCGGTGGACGGGCGCGTGGTGGTGTGCCGCGTGGTGGCTCTGCCGGCGGGCGTTGTCAGTACCAGATCCAGACCGGTCCTCGCCGCGGTTTCGTTTGCGGTAAGATCGGTCACTCCACTCCCCGCTGCTTTCGTCGCCTGGACGACCTCTTTCGTCAGCGTTTCGGCCCGTCGCCAGACCTCCCGGACTGGCACAGTTTGCTTAGTCGTCAGATTCAGATCTTTGATATGGACATGGATGCCATTGTTTCTGCTCTGCATGTGATGTATGCTGATGACTCTAGTGTGCTTCCGACTTATTACTCACTGTTGCCTAGTGTAGGTGTGCCTAGCTTAGCCTCCCCTGCTGCGTCAGGCGTAGGATCCCCTGCTTTGTGTAGTCTTGGTGCTTCTGCCGTCGTTCCGTCGCCAGACCCCTCGGCTTCGCTTTCCTTCACCTTGGACTCTGGCGCCTCTCGGTGTTTCTTCCGCGACTCCACCACCCTGACGCCGCTTCCTGTTCCTGCTGCCGTTTCTCTTGCTGACCCCTCCGGCGGCCCGGTAGTCGCCCGCAGTTCCACCACCCTTCCCTGTCCAGCGGTTCCTTCGGGCTCTCTTACAGGTCTGCATATCCCCTCGTTCTCCAGGAACCTAGTTGGTGTCGGCTGCCTCCAGGACCTTGGCGTCACCACTACGTTCCCTGGTCACGAGCGGTATGCTGTCTGTACCGAGGCCGCCACTGGTGCCCCCCTGTCCACGTTCCCCCGGGACCCGGTGTCCGGCCTGTTCACTCTGGACACCGTGCCCCCCCCGGCTGGAGCGCCCCCTCAGGTGGCTGTGTCTACCCAGGTTGCTGCTGCCTGCTCCTGTCGCTCCCTCACTCACCCGACCCTCCTGTGGCACCACCGCCTAGGTCACCCTGCGCTCCCGCGTCTGCGTCACATGTCCCAGCACGGTCTTGTCCTTGGTCTCCCAGGTTCACTCCCCGCGTTTCCCTCCTCCCCAGCTCCACCTTGCACGCCTTGTGTCGAGGGTCGGCTTCGCCGTGCCCCTCACTCCTCCTCGTTCCCCCCTACCGCCGCGCCGCTGCAGACCCTGCACCTGGACGTCTGGGGCCCCGCCCCCGTCCCTGGGCCGCGTCGCGAGCGCTACTTCCTTGTGCTTGTCGACGACTTCACTCGTTACACCACAGTCTTTCCCCTGGAGCGCAAGGCCGACGTGCCTGGCGCCCTCATCCCCTGGCTTGTCTCTGCGCGTGTCCACCGCGGTCTCCCTGTCTTGCGTCTTCACTCAGACCGTGGTGGCGAGTTTGGCTCAGGTGTCCTTGGTCGCTTTTGTCGTGCGGAGGGCATCACCCAGACGTTCACCCTACCGGACTCCCCACAGCAGAATGGGGTCGCTGAGCGACGCATCGGCTTGGTCATGGAGGTCGCTCGCACCTCCATGGTCCATGCCGGTGCACCCCATTTTCTGTGGCCGTTCGCTGTGCGCTACGCTTCTCACCAGCTTAACCTGTGGCCGCACCCTCAGCAGCCGCAGGTTTCGCCGACCCGTCTGTGGACTGGGTCTCCTGGTGACGCGTCTGCGTTCCACGTCTGGGGCTGCCTTGCTCACGTGCGTGCCTCCGGCACGGACAAGCTCACTGCCCGCACCCTTCCCTGCGTCTTCCTCGGTTTTCCCCTTGACGCGTCCGACTGGCACTTTTACCACCCGCCGTCTCACCGCTTCTTTCACTCTCGTGACGTCACCTTTGACGAGTCCGTCTCCTAATACCGCCGCTTCCCCCACCGTGGTCCCCCGGTTACCCCCCCCCTGTTCCTGGTCACCCCTTCCCCGGTAGTCCCTGCCCCTCCTCCTCCTCCTCCCCGTCCCGCCCCCTCTGGTGTCTCCCATGTCACCCCCCTTCCGTCCGTGGACCCGGTTGAGGAGTCTTCTGACTCTGGTGGCCCTCCGGTGCAGTCCTCGCCGGCCGCCCCTCCCCAGGTGTCCCCTCCCCAGTCCCCTCCTCCGCCGTCCCTGCCGCCACTGCAGCCGTCGCCGTCGCCGCCGCCGCCGCCGCCGCCGCAGTCGCAGCCCCCGTTCGCTGACTCTGGGGGTGCTCGTCCCGGTCGCCCTGAGGGTGGTCCCTCTGGGGGTGCGGGTGTGGAGAGTGCCGGTGGTAG